ATATACATATATATAATTAAAAGCCAATGGGCTTAATTCAAAACCTGTTTCTCTTTTTGGTTGTCTGTCTATTTACAGCCTCAATACGATTTCATACAACAGTAGCCACTTTACTTGGCTTTACTTTGTAGGTTGTTGTGTTTTACTGCTAGTGATATTAAACCTGCCAGTATTATGTCGTCTTCCCTTATAATAAAATAAGTGTAAAAGTCAATTTAAAAACACAGGTTATCACGGCTTAAACTGAGCTTCCTTATACAGCAATATATCATTTTATACAACACACACACGCACACGCACGCACGCACGCACACACACGCACACACACACGCACACACACACAGAGCTGGAGTCAGAGTCATTTAGGAGGGTTAGTTACAAGATATTGGACATGTACTGTTGAATCTTTTCAGTTTGTGGTGGGGTTTGGGAAAGTCATGGTGGGAAATCTACCTGCATTGTGCTTCTGGGGATGGAGCACTTTGAAATGATATAACCAGTGAATGGCATATGCGAAACTGCATAAAATACCACCAAATATTGCTGACACGGGAAGGCTATTTTCGGCACTTTCATGAGTTTATTCAGCAAGTGCATCGTTGTGCCACAGCCATGAGGTGATGAGGAGGCCAAAATATGGCAAATCAGATTTGGATTCCATGTTTGAGTAGAATTGCTGCATTAGGGACGATTGGTTTCTGGAGGAATAATCAATGAATCTGATTATCCAACCTATTCCATAAACCCTTTTCAGATTAGTGTCAGCGTCCATGTAAAGCTGGTCATACACCTATAGATTCTCTGCAATTTTCTATGGTCAGGTGAAAAAAGTGCAATAGATTCCTCCATTTACGCTAAACTGTGTGGATGGAGGAATCTCCTGTTGGGCCAAGCTTCAGTATCTTGCTAGATGGCCCTGCTGGCTCTCAAAATACCTGAACAATGCCTGCATCCAATCAGATTGTTCAGGTATTTTGACAGCCAGCGGGGTCGACTAGCAAGATACTGAAGCTTGGCCCAGTGGGAGATTCCTCCATCCACACAGTTTAGCATAGATAGAAAATCTGCAGATAGATTCCTTTATGGTCAGATGGAAAAAGTGCAACAGTGCAACAAGCTATAGGTGTGTGGCCAGCTTAAGTGAGACAGAAATTAGTGGCACCTAGGGGCAATCTAACTGCAGCTGCACCTCCAACTGCCTGCCTTATTTACAAATACTACCTGGTAGGACGAAGGTATTTATGTGTATGTTGCTAGTCACTGCAGTAGCCATTAATAACATGGGAACCTATATGGGACAGAGTGGTGCTGTCGGATACCTTGTTCTAAGACCACTAAAACCTGCCACCTTCTCATTCATACCATCTAGCATTTCATTTTTTTTAAATAAACTTTACATGACGTAAAACAAACTTATGAGTTTTAGTTAAAAAGGTCAGAATGTTTTTGCTTTGTAACTCCCACCGTTAGCGAAAACTTTTATTTTTCTGTTTAGTCTTGAAAACATCAGGTAAGGGTAACAATGTCTGTTGGGTATCTCTGTAAAAAAATAAATCAAAGCAAGTGGACCTGTATTTTTCTTGAAGATGTTTTGCTGGTCATCCGACCTGTATTTTTCTTGAAGAAAAATTGTGATGTGTACTGTCATTCTGAATTGAGAAAGCTGGTCGGATGACCAGCGAAACGTCTTCAAGAAAAATACAGCAAGTCCAGTTGCCTTAACTTATTTTTTTACAGATATATAATGACCTGGATAAATGAGATCCTTCAAAGGCAACGTCATTGCTGTCTGTGATTCCACTATAGTTTTCCCCCTCATTTTCTATTCAGTGACACCAGAAATAAAAATGGGAGAATGAGAGTCACTGGGACAGGAAGGAAGAGACATCCAAAAAAAAAAAAAATCTTTTCATTTTGTGTCCTGGTTACAGACACTGCCGATCATTTCCTGTGGCTTTTACCCCTGTTACCAGGATAGGTGTTGAGTCAAAGTTTCATCAATGGGAGAGTGCTGACAATAAAGGAGCGATTATAAATCCCACTCTGAGTTGACCTTTAACCTAAGAGAACGCACAGCCATTTTAGCAGGTCAATAGATACAATAACTCTTCCTGACCCAGAGCAACTGCCTGCAGTACTTAGCAGACCAGGCGGTGCTCTTTTCATGGTGATCTCCCTTTTGATACACAAAGCCGTGAGACGCAGCCAGAAATGTTCAAGGTTAAAGAGAAGTCAAGTTATACTGCACTGAATCTTGAGGAATTATGCATTTCAATGTCTCCCTGCAGAGTAAGGCTCTATTAGGGTTTTATGTTTATATCCAAGTTAGCTCTGTTCAGCCTCTTTAACAAAACCTCAATGCAGTGAAGGAACACAAATATTTTGAAAGGAGTAGAAGACTATTTAACATATTCTAATTCCAATCAAAGCGCTTTATTAGAGACGAGTCACGTTTAGCGGGCTAATAAAAAGCCTGGCGTTTTTCCAATCCAGTTCACAGCAATTACAATGGAACACGTCTTTTAATAAGAAAAATAAAAACCAGTTTGGAAAGCAAAGTTATTTAACAGGAGATTATAAAACAAAATCCTAATGAAGCAGTCACTCATAAATAACAGCAACAGATTAGACTGTACCTTCAGAGATCACAGAGGTGAATGAAAACTGATTAGCTTGATAAGACACATTTATGTTCATACTCCTTTCCTGCAGACAGACAGAAGGGGCTGCAGCTGATACACTGCTAATACCAACCAAATAAGATAAACTCACAATAGATATAAAATGACTGTTGCTTGATCTGTGCAGTAATGGCTGGATAAGCATTTCACACCTGTAAACAAACTGTAAGTTTTGGCCAACTGAATAGATTTTTCCAATTATTTGCAACTATTCTGCTCCATAACCCCCCCCCCTTCTCCATCAGGTATACAAGTTTCTATTTCTTTCGTTCAACCCGTGGGCTAAACAAAAATATAGAACAGAGTCCTCTATCAATGCTTACAAGTCTTGATGGGAGAATGATTGACTGAGTGGTTGCCAGCTCCTTTCGGCTGACAATTTGCCAACTTGCTCCTTCGATCAGCTGATTGAGGCGGAAGGGTGCCAACAGCAGAACCCACTATGCAAATTTCAGTTAGTTCATCATAAACTGGCCAAAATGCATACGGTGTGTACCCCACCTGGGGCCCCATTCACACTGCACGATTTTTGCAACGATATCGCTCATATTTCCACGCGATATCGCTCTATGTAGCTTCTCCAATCCATTTCAATGGAGCTGTTCACATCTCGCCGCTCAATATCACTTGTAGCTCGTCGCTGTAGCTTGTCGCTCCTACATGACCCTTTGTTCTGTGGATTTTGAGCGATTTTGCTCCTGATTGCATACACCCCAATAGGAAAAAGTTGCATGAAAAGACGCGCAATATCGCACATATAAAATCAAGCAGAAAATTGCACGATTTTCATGTCGCTCAGTGAGAATGGGGCCTTACGGTGTCTCCCCAGATCATAACTGTTTGTTTATAGGCGAAATGATCCTGCATTTTTATAGGCATCTCTTGTGATGTTCACTTCTTCTGACCACCATCTAATTTCTGTATCTAATTAAACAGTTTAGTATGGCTATGTGGATTGGGCCATGCTGCACTACCCTAGGAGGAAATAACTATTGTGGTACTGTGTGGCAATCCCACGGTAGAATTGGGTATTATGATCACCTAGGACTCACCCAGAGGGACTGAGAGGTTTCAGGAAGCAAGGGTTTGTCTGGATTCTGCTTGGGTTCCAGGAAGCGGGAGATTTCAAAGAGTTGGGAGGGATGAGATCTCCATTCCTGGATCCT